TTTTTTTCAAAAAAGGTATCGCATCCTTCTGTTAGATGTGTTGTTGGCAACGGTTGCTAGGGAGAGCTGGGGTCAGTTACAGACACACTGATGCTTGCTCTAATAATACTTCGCTCCACATAGCTCAGATGCAGACACCTCTCGGCTAAACAGGGCACGCACATTTCAACCAAGGAGGGCTTGAACTTGTCCTACCAGGCATACCTCGGCCAAGGAGCACTGTCGGAGCCCAGGGGGAAGGCCTGGGGTGGTGACAGGGCAGTGCTGGGCGGAGGGGGCTCAGGCCTCCAATTCCTCTCATTCCAGAGGTCCCATAAAAAGAGGCACAGTCATTCTTCCCCGCCTCGTGAAGCTGGAACCTCCCCGCCGCCCCGTTATCATCCCGCAATTCCTGGGCGAGGATCAAGGCCAAGAGTTTTGGTGACTTCTGTCACCCGGGGGTCCTAGGGGCTGACATCATCAGTCAGACAGCATCAAGGCACACACTCCAGTGGGTGTGGGACCCTGCAAACGTGAAGTCGGGAGCCAGGCAGTGAAGCCAGCCTCCTCCCAGCTTTACCGGGTGGCCCAGCCTCTGGCACACGCGGGCCACGTGGGTTCAGAGTGAGGTCCTTGCCCTAAAACACGTGAGAGCTGCTCCGACAAATGTCCGAGGCCAAGAAAAAGGAAAAGGACACGGGGAGACAAGCTGAGGACAGAGAGGACTAGGGCCAGCGGTGAGGAGAGGCGACTCTGGGCTCCCGCTTGGTTGACTTGGTTAGTGCGGAGCTACTTCCAGAGGAACCCCGGAATGGTGGCGAGGAATGTGAGAAAGGGCCCCCAGGATGGTCCAGAACAGCCTTCTCACTGCCCAGAGGGGAACCTCAGGCCGAGCAAGGCGAAGGGACTGTCTCAGCTGTCACGTCTCCTGCTCTGTTCGCTCCCCAGCTCAGGCTCTGCTTCCTCCACACTACTCTGCTACGTACCTGTTACGAATTTCTTGACTGGATCCCGGGATGACAGGCAGGGCCGCTGGTGGCACGGTCGGGGCATCTCTGGAGTATCTAGCCCACAAGCGGTGTTCACCTGCCTACACAGCAGCATCATGTGCCGGCGGGGGTGGGGGGTGGGGGCAGATCTTTCCAAAGGATGGCCAGCTGTCCCTGGACAATCCAATTCAACTGGCCCGCGGTAGGACCCCTGCCCCAGTAGGCTCCTCTCCATATGATTCTAGCGGGCAGCTAGGCTGAGAACCACTGGCCTACAGAAAAGCCGGTGGCTAAAACTCAGAGTTCCCAGGCCGGATCCCCCCGTCTGACAAGCACAGCAATACGACTGTGCCTCAGTGGGCCCATCTATGAAACTGACCCCTCACCCACAAACCATCAGTCATCCAATACAAGGCCTTGTGACTCAAAGTGTCAGGTCCCTGGGCCCACAGTGCCCACATCATCTGGGAGCTCGTCAGACCTGAGAATCTCAGGGTGCACTCGGAACTACGGAACCAGAACCTGCATTTAAATGAAATACCATGCAATTCAAAAGCACATTCAAGTTTGAGAAGCACCAATCTGATGAGAAACACTGATCTAACGCTCGACGCGTAACAGACATTTAATAAGTGGAATTTTATTTATAAGAACAGTAAAAAAAGGACCCCACATTTAAGGCAAAACAACTTGGTTTTGATGTAAAAATCGAAGACCATTTTTGAGCTATGGGATTGGCGATGGGTCCACTGAAACCCTCGGGGCTCTGGCGTTGTCCCGGCTTATGAGGGCAGTGTTTCTGGGTTCCTGGAGAGGACAATGCTGAGTCTTTGGCTGGGAAGGGTTCAAGGCCCTTTGACCTCCCTTTGGCCCCACTACCGCCCCACAGTTTCCGCGCCCCAGCTTGGCAGGCAGCTCTCATGCCTCTGCCAGAGTGTCCCCTACAGCAGAGCCTGCCCCTCTCCCCCTACGCTGCCAGGTCCCACTGCCGAAACCCGGGCAGCAAAAGCAGTCGGCCAAGGAGAGCACCGTCCAAAGCCAGCGCTGGGAGCTGTGTTCACACCCCGGCGTCGTTGCAGCCGGCATCGCTAAGCCGGGCCTCTGACGTGGCGACAGCAGCCCAGCTGTGACCGGCTGGAGAGCCAGAGGGAGCGGGCCTCGAGAGGACAGAGCTGAGTATGAGCTGCACAGAGAGAAAGGGAAGGGAAGACCTCTGGGGGCCGGGGACTGTCTGCCAGGAGAGGGACACAAATCAGGTTTGCTAGAAAATGAAGGCAAGTCAAAAAGGGCACCCCTGCGGGCGTGAAGAAGGAAAGTGGGGCTTGATGAGCCATGTCCACTTCCCGCTTTTCTTGTACCTTGTGAGTCTGGGGTGGTCAATGGCCACGAATCATGCTGCTTGGAAAGCTGACTTCAATCTGCCACCTCCTCAGTGCCAGGGAGAGACAGCAGGGCCCGAGGGGGCCCGAGGGGGCCCGAGCAGACCCACGGGGTTGGCTTCCTCTGAGCCTTGTAATCGGGGAGTTGGTCCGTCAGGAGCTTAGAGGCAGCCCCACGGCAGCATATCCAGCCTGCCCAAAGGGCTTGAAAGTGAGTGTCCAGCTCAAGCCCTTCAAGGGGCTCTCTCCTTAGCTTACACAAAAGCTGGGGCTGCAGGCGCTGGGGAGGTGGTGAGTGGGGGCCTACGGGGGACATTCAGATTTCTCAGTACCTGACCCACAAATACCCTACCCAGGCAAATGGCAGATGTGGGACTGACAGCCCTCCTCTGCCCCAGAGACGAGGTGGCATCAGTCGGGCTGGGTCTCCTGGGCTGGCTCCCAAAGCATATGTCATACCCGTCATTGAGCCATGCTATGGGGTGGGTGGGGTTCTGAGGACTAGGGGCATCCAGGACTGTTTCCGGCAGTGGCAGGGCCCAGGGAAAGTGAGGGTGGACGAGGCTCCTGCGGGGTCCCTCCTCAAGGCCCCTGACTCATCTCCAGCAGGGTCAACCTGTAAGGTCCACGGAGGAGGGTCAAGCAGCCAAGCCAAGCCCTTCCCAGTGGGAGCAGCAGAGACCCAGCACCAGCTGCTGACCGCTGAATCAGGTCGAGAAGCCCTGTTTCCCGGCTCTCGATTTAGTGCTCTTGCCCTGCGCTAGCGTTTGCCAAACTATGTCTCTTGGCACACTACTTCCACAAGACGTTATTAGCCAGGGGATGCAAAGAGGACTCGTTGAGTTCGGCGGGGCCAAACATGTTCCCTTCCTGCTGTGCTAAGCCAGTCCACTTTGTGGCTGATGGGGAGGCGGGTGTGCCACGGAGCCCCTTCTGTGGCTGAGCACGTCCCAGGATGGATGCCCTGCCGGACACTGTGGGCAAGGCTGCTCTGACCACCGGTCGTTGGAAGAAATGCCTGACCCGGGCAGGATCCTGGGCGGACCCTGCGGCCAGCTGCCCTTCCCCGCCGGGTGCGTCTTGTCCCCACACCCTGGATGTCTGTCCGCCGCTGGCTCTGGCTAGGTTACTTGGAGCTAGCAGCCATTGTCTGCAAGTCTTGCCCTATCCTGGCCCTTCTCTGAAAAAGACCAAAAACCAAAGCCAAAGGCCAATCGGTCCCTGACTCCCCCGTGCGTGGTAGTACGTGGCAGACAGGCTGCTCCCCGCCGCCACCCTCCACACTCTCCCAGGACATTCCGGCCCGTGAGGAACATGCCCGATGTGCAAATCCCTCAGGTAATGCGGGAATTCGTCACCAGGGGAGCGTGGGCGATCCAGGAATGGGAACCTGATCGGGGCCTGGGGCTGGAAAGAAGCCGCCCGGGCTGGCCAGCGAGGGCTCAGGTTGCAGTGAGCAGACTCCCCAGGAAGAGGGGAGGACAGCACGGATGGAGCCCTGCGGGCAGCACACACAGGGGGCTCCCTCCTCCCTGTTTTGGGGGGAAGAGACGGCAGACTTTGAACCAGCTGGTTAAGACCGGCGTGACCACATGCCTTGGTTTACGCCTGGTGTCCGGGTGTAATTATGGATAGAGCCCCTGGGCCTCTCAGAAGTGCTGGGGTTTGGATAACCTCTCCTGGGCTCCGCCTTGTTCGGACAGACCTGCAGGGGTTCTCCTCCCGTTCTGGAACTCTGCGTTCAGAACATCCAGGCTCCTGTCTTCCCTCACCTGGACTGGAAACTCAGCTCACATCTCACGGGGTCTAAGGTACAAAGTCAGATAGAGACGACTTTGCCGCAGCGAAGGGTCCCCAGGCGTGGTGGCCATGCCGTCCCACCTGCTACCTCTCCCTGATGCCGCCAGTCCCCCTGCTACCGCAGCCATGACAGAAGAGCAGGTGCTGGCCTCCATCTCACGAGATGGAACAGTCTTAGTCTATGCGCCCACGCCCGTGCCCACTACCCTCTGACACTGATAAAACCAGCACTGAGCGCTGGCACCCACGGAGGAAGAGATGAAAAGGATCGAGATTACGCTCTCAGGAGGGATTCTGAGTGGGAAGGCACCGAGGAACAAGACGGTCTTGGATCTCCATGCTTCCCCTCTGCCTTAAAGGTGGTCTCAGGAAGCCCAGCGTATGGGCAGCCTGACCAAACCTAAGCACCGGCTACACCACCTCCAGGGGCTGGGGGCGGGGGGTGGTCCGGGGCAGGAGGAAGAGGAGGAGGAAAAGAGAAGTCCACACCAAGTTCGAGTCCGCTCGGACGCAGAGAGGTCAAAGCACAGAGACGGGTTAAGACCGAGCGTCAGCGCTCTTATCATGGAAGTAGAAAGAGGGAAAGAAAGGCTGATTCAACATGAAGCACTTATGCAAGTATATTGGTCCGTTGTAACCATGGAGACTCACACAAACACACGCAAATCCGGACACACATCCCTCGCCCCTCGGGTGCCTTTTTATTTTCTGTAATTAATCGGGCAAGGGTGGAACTTGGGAAAAGTTCAACGGTGGTCAGAATCAGCAGCCTTCTCTCTAGTAATAACCCAGGGGCGGGCGCGGCGCGGTGGGGACGGGGGCGGGGGGCCCGCAGCTGCCGGTGTCCGCTTACCTGAAGCATGTTGAGAAGCAGGCTCCGGAACTTGGTCCCCTCCACCATGAAGAGTGCCATCTTGTCGCAGAGCTTGGCGGCCGTGAAGGCGAAGCTGCGGTCAGACACGGCCTTCTGGTAGATGGTCCGAACGATCTCTCCCAGCATCTCCTCGGAGTTGGTCGAGTTCTGGGCCTCCTCCATGAAGGTGGTGAGCTTGGCATCCACGTCGCTGCTGTTGTTCCGCATGCTGTTCAGGATCTCAATCAATTTGTCCATCTTATTCTGCTGAGGGTTGGTGGTCTCCACTGCCACTTCGTCCTGGGGGTGTGGGAGACAAACCGAGTCGCGCCTGAGTGGAGCCGAGGATAACGCTGGGGGTGACCAGGGGAGGGAGGGCTGCCGCCCCCAGAAAGGATTCAGCCCTACCTTCTTGAACCTGAGGTCTGGTCCCTCTGGGAATGCTGACCTCCACCAAGGACCCTCGGGCCCCAGGGTCCTCTGCTGACCTTTTTCTTGGCTCCTGTGACATCTGGGGCTGACCCTTCTTGCAAGCTCTAACTCTTACCCAGGACTCCCATATATATTGGCTGTGTCTGTCTACTTGCCTATAAAATGTCTCAAGCTGGAAATGACTTAATGGGGCTTGTAAAAGATGAAATTAGATAACAAACAAAATATTTTTTTGTAGGAAGGAGGGAGGTATCCAAAATGCCTACCACCTTGGTTAAAGACGTCCATGGAACGGCTACCTTGTCTACCAGACTCTTGGTTCCTACAGCCCAAGGACGATTGTGTTCTCTGGGTAAATATGGCCCTGGTTTTGTGTCCTATGGAGGAGACTGTGCTGGCCTTCTATAACAAATGCTGTCTACCAAGGAATCCTGCCATGTGCCACTAAATCGATTGGCACTTCCTGGAAGGAAGTTTCAAACAACAAACTCAACACCCTTAAGAAGTTTCACTGCAGGTGGATCAGACCCGGGCTGGTGAAGGAAGAAAATGGCATCTGACAGTCTCAAAAGTATTTATTCAAAAGCAATGGATTGATGGCCAAGCATGTGATCACCCTAACTGCTGGGATGTAAGATCGGGGTGAAGGGCACGGTCAGGGACATAAAGCGAGGTCCCACGCTTGCCCTTCTGTTCTCAACAAGGAGAGCTCTAGGCTGGGAGGCACAGACCAGGGTCCTGGAGCCTGCTGTCTGCCTCTAGCTATTTGGCTATTGGCAGTGGTTTCACTCTCTGGGCCTCAGTTTACTCACCAGTAAGATGAGGAGGTTAGATGATGTATCGTTTCTCCTGAGGCCTGTTACTGTCTATGCCAATGTCCTCCTGGTTTAGGAATCCAGGGGGCCTCATCTAAGGGGAATCCTTGAAACCCATGTATAGGTGCTATGAATCTACCCTTATTCTAGCCCCTCCTTGCCCACCCCACTGCCCAACTATCTGGGCCCCAGGGCAGAAGAGTGGTCTGTACATAAAATAACCACCACCCACAGGGGTCTTTATGCATGTCATGACATTTAATCTTCACGGTCTGTCTGCAAGGTGGGTACAGATGAGTCAACTGGGGCTCAGAGAGGCTAGGTGACTTGCCCAAGGTCACCTAGCCAGTCAAAGGCAGAGTGAGCATCAGCTGGTCTGCTGGACTCTCAAGCCCATGTTGTTTCCACTCTAGGACACTGCAGCTACATTTAGTAGAACTGGAGGGAATATAATGAATAACCCCCCCCACCCTGGCCAGGCTGTAGGAATATGTCTTGGAAGGTCTTCAGGAGAAGACATACTGGTCACCAGCTGGGAACCACTTCCAGGCTCCCACCTTTGAGAAGCAGGGAAATGAACGGCGCTTTCCTCCTGGACCTCACAGCTGCTTGCCCCCTGGGGAGTGGTGAGGTGGGAACTCAGGGCTGCAAAGGATGCCAGGAACAGCATCTCAGCTTCAAGCGCTGGCTTGGGAAGAGGTCTGACCTGCCTCGTCCTGCCTGAGTGTGGACCTGGACCTGGCTTCTTCTTTTTTTTAAAGATTTTATTTATTTATTTGACAGAGAGAGAGCACAAGTAGGCAGGGTGGCAGATAGAGGGAGAGGGAGAAGCAGGCTCTCCACTGAGCAGGGAGCCCAATGCGGGGTTCCATCCCAGAACCCTGGGATCATGACCTGAGCTGAAGGCAGCTGCTTAACCAACTGAGCCACCCAGGCGCCCCCTGGACCTGGTTTCTTAGGCAAAAGGTGGAGGAGAGTAGGCGGTCGAGAGAGGCTGGGGAGAAGCCCACAGCTTCGAGCTCTGCAGAAGCCCCAGAAGGAGGACTCTGGGGAGGGCTGGGGGCAAATCGGCCTTTCTCAGGAACAGCTCCTTCGCAAGGTGACTTCTCCTGCATCTCTGGCAGGAAGGGGGCCTAGGGTGAGCACAGTAGACCTGAGGCTGCCAGTGACATAGCCCCAACCCTTCGCTAGAGGCTCAGGGATATGTCCTCCTGAATCAGCGAGCCAGCCTCTGGAAGCCAGGGCCAAGGGTAAAGTGAAGACAGAGAGGCTTGGGGCGGGAGGCAGGGGGCAACATTTAAGAAGGCCCTACTCTCAGGGCTGCGCCAATGCAGGGTTGGGACCTGTGGGATGCTGGCAGGGGGGAGGAAGGGAGGCCTCCTTAAATTTTGTCCCTTAGACCCTTCCCTGGCTGCTGATGAAGCAGGAGAATGGCCAAGCTGAGGCCTGCTCACACTCTGCCCAACTCACCTTTGCTCTCGACTCTGGTGGGGACCGCAGCTGGCCAGCACTTACCTGGGGGAGAAGCATCAGTCCTTCTCATCGTATCAGCTCTGAGTTCCCCCCAAATGCCCTTTAGCACTATCAGGGCAGTGTCTGACCACAGAGAAGGCTGGAGGGAAGAACCAGGCTTTCCCCATTCCCTTCCCACCCCCCTCGGCCACGTGCCCCTTCCTCCCCTTCCCTCTCAGGCTGGGGGCTGGTGCCCGGTGGCCCCGTGGGCCTCTTGGGGGACCAGAAGGCGAGGAGCTGAAATGTGCTGGAGGGGCTCATGCAGAGCTGGCCACGAGCCAGCCCTCTGGCGGCCAGGGGTCCCTAAGGCAGTGGCGGTCCCCTCAAACCCGTGCCCACCTACCAAAGTGCCTACCTCGCGCTGTCCTCCCTGGTGCAAGAGAACAACAAAAATTCAATTACCGGTACCTTTTCTTTCAGCCTTCGCCGCAGCCTGTCTTTGGAAGACTGGAGCAGGGTAATTTTGGGCCGCTCCCCGACGCGCTCGGGAATAATACTGTCTTTACGCTTTGTCTCAGCCTCTGGACCCCCCGGCTGCTGCGGGGGCAGCCTCTCAGAAGCCACGGGGGCTGGGGCATCAGGGCTGCGGGGGGGCTCGAGGCCGCCGTGCCCCGTGTCCCCCAGGGCGTCCTCAAGTTTGGCGCTCTCCATGGTCACGGTCTCTTTGGCATTGCGGTGGGTGCCTGCCTCCCCCTTGTCGCCTGGGGGGTGCTTCATGTTGTTGTGCCAACGCCGGTTCTGGCTGTAGCCGTGATGGGTGGGCCTCCCTGAGGGGTGCGGCACCGAGCCCCCCGGGTAGGATTTCTGGTGGTCCCTGTTGTGTTTGGCACTGCCCGGCTGGTGGTCACCGTGCTGTTGGGGCTTGTTTCCTCCTGGAGGTCTCTGCTGCCGTCTGCAAACCAAAGGGGCAAGACACAGAGGGTCACCGGGAGGGCTGCTCAGGGTCCCTGTGCCAAACACCAGGACAGCAATTCACTGAGTTGTTCATTCATTCATTCATTCAGTCATTCATGCTTCCTGAACACCTCCTCTGGGCCAGGCTCCGTGACGGGGCCTGCGGATACTGCAGAGCAGGACACAGACTGGTCCCTGTATTCCCGAGGGTTTAGGTCGGTCCTTGAGTTCAGGTATTATTTTATTCCCTTATTAGAATACACATCAGCACATGTGTGGGGAACCAAATTCAAAGGAGGCGCTGGAGGAGACAGTGAATCCTCCTGACGACCATAGCCACCCAGCGGGTCCTCTTGAAGCAACTGCTACCATTTTGGGAAGCTTCCAAACATATTCCACGCGCGTTCCCGCAAAGACAAATACACAGACCTGCGCCTCGGAACAACGATCCCGCTCGTGGATTTTTACCATAATGGCTCTTGTAAAGTTATAGCATTTGTTAAACAACCTTTGTTTTTGTTTTTGTTTTTTTTTGGTAGATTGACATTTCTATCCCCAAGCCCACTAACAAAATATGCAATGAGAAGTTGTTACGGGCTGAATTACGCGTCCCTCAGCCCCACATTTCACATGTGGAAGCCCCAATCCCTACTACCTCAGAATGTGACTGTATTTGAAGAGAGGGCCCTTAACGAGGGGATTAAGTTAATCCGCTAGGCCATTAGGGTGGGCCCCAATCCAATCTGACTGGTATCCTTATGACAAGAGGAAATCTAGACACAGAGAGACACCAAGGATGCAGGCACACAGAAGAAAGACCGTGTGAGATGGCAAGACAGCCATCTGCGAGGGGAGACGCCCCAGAAGAGGCTAATCCTGCAGACACCTTAACCTCGGACTTCCAGCCTCTAGAAGTCTCAGAAGCTCAATTTCTGTTGTTGAGCCACCCTGTCTTTGGTATTTTGTTATGGGAGTCTGAGCTAACTAATACGAGAGTGACATGTGACTCACCGATTTACTGGACACGCTATTTCTAAGGCAGAGAATATCACATGGAACAGACTTGAGGTGTGCACATGGGATGAACCCCAAACGTTTTGATTTGTGGACTGAAGGCAAGCGGGGGCATGGGAGGGGCATCCTGGGGACCCTCCGGTCTTGTCCACAAAGGCTGCTTCCATCTCTGGAAAACCTTTCGTGTCCAACCTCACAGTATTTTCCACAGCATGACTTTATATGAAGTGCAGATGGAGAACAAGATGACCAAGAGCCCCTCAAAAGTTGCAAAGTTGGTGAAGGAAGTTTGCAGAAAGAAGACTTTACCTTCTAAAGAATGACGCTTACACCCTCGTCTGTGACCCATCTCTCCGGTGGGTAGAACAGACCTTCATTGCATTGCATTGCATTTTATGAACAAAAAAGGTATTTATTGACTTTGAAACTATTACTTATATAAAGTCAGTTTCAATGTTCACTTGATAATTTTGTATCTGTGAAAATTTGGAGGCATCTTAGGTTGAGGCTAAACATGTCACTTTCCCATCAAAATAAATGAAAACAATTTTTTTTTTTCATTGAAAAGTTTTCCCTACTAGCAGGGTTTTCAAGGGGGACTTAAAGTTGTTAAGTGGGAGACAGGTGTGTAGTCTTTTGTTTCCACACAAATGGTAACTAAAAACATTGTATATTAGAAGTAGAAATTAGTAGGTTTCTGGAGGGAAATTTGAAGATTTGTTACAAGAGCCTCTAGAACATGTAAACCACTGGACCTTGTAATTCCACTTGTGGCAGTTTATCCAAAGAAAATAATCAAAAGCCCTGCATAGGGATGTAGGTACAAGGATGTTCATCACGGCAGTGTGTAACAGTGAGAAACTGAATGTGGAACATTAAGAACATGGTGTAAGACTTGACTCTGGTTGATGGAAGAAAGCACATGTTGTAGAATGTGTAGCATGGTGCTATTTTTTAAGGCAGATATTTATGTGCCTAGAAAAATCTGGAAGCAGACACCAAAATGCTAACAGTGGTTATCTCTGGGGGATGGGATGAGGATTCTTCTTTTCTTTTTTGTGTTTTCTAAATGAACATGAATGCCTTTTCCTTTTTCTCTTTTTTTTAGAGAGGGGAGGGGCAGAGGAAGAGGGAGCGAGAGAATCCCCAGCAGGCTCCAAGCCCAGCGCAGAGCCCCACATGGGGCTCCATCTCACAAGCCTGAGATTGAACCAGAGTCCGGTGTTTAACCGACCGAGCCACTCAGGTGCCCCAGGGTAGTTGCTCATTTAGTTAAAACAAACAAACAAAAAACCCCAAACTGTTGAACTCTTCCAGAGAGGCTGTACCATTTTACATTCCCACCACCAACACACAAGCTGTTTTCAGTAATCCCCCTCCTCGACCACATGGATTCTGAGAACACGCATGTTAGATACGATATTGTGGACTCCCAGGTCCCAGAAGCTCCTTCGCATTTTTTTTTTTTTTCCCTCCCCCAGCCTATTTTCTCTGTGTGGCTCAGACTGGGTCATTTCTATTCTATCTTCCAGTACACTGGATCTTTCCCTTGTCCCTGCATTCTGCTGTGGAGGCCATGCATTGAGTTTTTAATTTATGAAGTTTCATTTGGGTCTTTATCATGGCTTCTGTTTCTTTGCCAAGACCTAATTTTTCATTTGTTTCAAGTATGTTCCTAATTGTCCTTTGAAGCATTTTTATGCTGGCTGCTTGAAAATCTTTTGTTAGATAATTCTAACGTTTCTGTCATCTTGGTCTTGGCATCTAGTGTATTTTCTCATTCAGTTGAGATCTTTCTGGGTTTCAGTACGACTAGGAGATTTTCAGTTGAAACTTGGACATCTTGGGTATTACGTTATGTGAGTCTGGACTTTGTTAAGGTCAGAGTCCTAGAGCGGTTTTAGCAGGCTTCCTCTGACTTTGCTCCACTAGTGGAAAGGGCTGCTGGGCCTTGTTACTGCCAAGCGGGGAGTAGAGGTCGGGTTCCCTACTGGGCCTTCTCTGACACCCCAAGGGAGGTCCTCTTTACTGCTGAGCAGGGGTGGGAGTTCTGGCTCCCCACACTGATGCCTCCCTGGCTAGGAGAAGGGTACACACTGTTATTCCCCATTGACACAGAGGGAGGGGTGCTCCATGCCCCACGGGGCGGGGACGAGTCCCAAGTCCTCACTCAGCCTTTCTGACACCACCCTGGTGGAGCATTTGGGAGCCTCCTCACAGCCCGGTGAGTGTCAACTCTTGGCTCTTTCCTCGGCCTTTGCTTGTGTGAGTCAGGGCGGAGCCTGTTTTTTTTTTTCTGGGGGTTTTTCTAGAGTTGAATGTTACCAACCAAGAGTTTTCTGCCTTGCGAGGCTGCCCCTTTCCTGGTCCTCTGGCTAGAGAGGGCAGGTTTTTGTTGGGGCTTCTTGGTCTGCCTGTGCCTACTGGTGTTTCTGGGTTGCCGGCTTGTTTGGCTCTAAGTCTGGGATCTGTGAGGCCAGGAAGAAATCGAGCAAGTTACTACTCTATCATTCCTTGGGCACCATGGTCCCCAGCCGGTCTGCCTTCTCTCCAACCTTTCAGAGTCCTCTTATGTTTGTTTTTATATAGAATGTTCAGGGTTTCTAATTGTCTGAATTTATTTTAATAATTTAAGAGTCATTATAGAAACATCTATGGAAGTCTGGTACATGGCATGGCGTCTGGCTGCCTGGGTGTTCCCTGGGCCCTTCTCATGAGGCCTGCGTGGTATTTTCCATCCTTGATGTCCAGGTTCAATCTCACTGGGTCTGAAGCACATCCCTGGTGCAAAGAACCGCGCTGCCCTGATCCTCGGGTGGAAGAGGCAGCCCCTCCGTCTCACACCCCTCACCTCCGCCAGCATGCCTACAACTCTCAGTTTTATTCCCCAGTGGACTCATTCTAGAAACAGGGGTCAGCGAGGCACCAATGCTTTAGGTTCTGGAAGACGGTCAGTTTGCATCCACCGAGGGGCAGGGCTCTTGGGCACAGGCCCCCAGGCAAGTGTTGGGCCCCGTCTGCAAAGTAAGTCACTGGCTCAGCTTCTTTCCAGGATCACCAACTGGCCTTCGGACTGCCCAGACCTAAACCCAGATGCCTGAGCCACAGGTCGGCTCGGAAGCCGGTGGCCCTCACCTGAGAGGCACAGACCAGCCTCCATCAGGAGAGCCGGGACCTGGGAGCTGAGGAATTCCATGGCCCTCCCACTCCTCAGGGTGCCACACGCCTGTGACATTTTGCGAATTCTCCCTGCTTTTATTTTTCAGTGACTTTCAAGTAATTTGCCCTCTCTCCTTCCACGCTCTTTGTTCTTGGAGTATGAGTAATTTTTAAGGCCAGAGAAGAACCTTGGAAATTCCCTGGCAGATAACGCTTGATTCTCACGACTTTTCCCATCCTTATTTAGAAAATTTGTGGTGAATGCAGCTATGGCCCAAGGAATGCCCCCAGACGATGGTTGACCAAGTCCTTCCCTGCATTTATCTTGAAACTATCTGGCTTCCCACTTGCCATATCAGGGATTTCCCTGTCTCTGTCCAACATCCTCCCTCCTTCCCCCACAAAACAAAACAAAACAAAACTTCTCTCCACCTGGAGGAGGAAGGAGGTAATTTTGACATGGCTGGTGGTCAAGGGCTCAGAAAGAAAGCAGCTAGGTCTTGCAGACATTCTGCTGTTCTTGCTGGAAATTTTGGGGGGCCTGGAACTCCAAGTCATCCTAGTGTGCAAGACCTTGGAGCCAGCCAGTTCTGTCCATCCAGCAATGACCAGGAATGTCCAGGTTGCTGGGCATTTATTGGGTGTTCTCAGACCCATTCTGCCTGGGTGGCAGCTCCTTTGCACCCAAGGAGTGCTGTCTGTAGGCAGGAGGGGAGGCCTGGGAGTCCACCCTTATGGGCCCCCTCCTACCTGGGCAGGCAAGACAATGGAGTCAAAAAGAAGAGGGCTGATAGGGGGCTAGACGGCCAATGATACTGGTTGGGT